ATACTATCAGGAGTAGCATAATACAGGAAGAGTGCACTTCAATAAACAATCGGAAATTCGTCATTTACTAGCCTTTAATACCTACGATTTACTACGCGTAACTCATGCCCAACTTGAGCTCAAATGTACACCAGTACATTTCGCCTAGCACGCTGCGACAATCGTTTCCTGTATACACCCGCAATAACCGGAGATAATAGACTAAACCGTACGACACGATTTTCCAGTTCTGACGCTGCCAGCAAGACTCAACCGGTTGTTGCGCCAGGCGCAGGGAAATTTAAACAAAGGGCAGCTTACTAACCACAAGCTTGCTCTCTCGGCGAGGCCGGTGGTGCGCTCGCAGGGAGATAGCGGTGGATTGCTGCCGTGCGTGGGGGGCATACCAGCTGTAATGCCGGTATGCCCGGTATGTAGCTGTATCGGCGCCGGTTCAAAATGCTTTCGCATCATCTACCGCGCCGGACCGAGTTGATTTGCCAGCGTCCGTGCACGATGTCAGTCACTCCTCCCTGCGAGAAGCCACACCGCCATCGCCGAAAATTCCGCGAGAGCAAGGCTCGTGGTTCATGTAGCTGCCTTTTGTTTAAATTTCCGGCGCAAAAGATCGGTTTTGCTGGCAGCAGAATTGCGAGGAAAATCGTGTCGTACGTTTTAGGCTATATCTCCGGATTGCGGGCGTCGTCATACGCAGGGAAACGATTTCGCCCACGATGCTGGGAATGTACTGTGTACGATTTGAGTCTAAAGTTGGCTAGTAAATCGTAGGTATTATAAGGCTAGTAAATGACGAATTTCCCTTGTTTATTGAAGTCACACTCATTCCCTATTATCTACTCCTGATATATATATACAACAACTTATATATTTCACCACCATATATACCTGCATGTGTAACCGTGTAGGTAGGCCTACCACGATGACAGGTTATAAACACACTCCTGGCCAACCCCTATATATTTTCCCAATCATAATAAGCAAAATCCGGTGTATTTAAAAGGGGTGGAATAATTAATTTCTATGAAGAAGGATTATATGTGATAAAACGAATATACAAATATTATATCAACATTATCAAAGCTATTTCATGAAGGCCTTCTGATCCTCCTATAATATTCATTGTCTGTAGCTGATGCCTGGTCAGCCAAGGTCAACCATACAGCATGTACTAGGAGTGTTCTACTCAGGGGCGTACCTACGGAGAATAGCGCCTATGGCGAGTACTGAAATTGCGCCCCTGTCCATACATCTGACACCCATCTTTTAGATAGCTTTACTATAATATACAGGGACGTAGCCAACTAAAATGTGTGTATGTGTGTGTGGGGGGGGGGGGTTCTTAGTGCTACAGCTGTGGATTTTCATACTATAGACATATAGGATTTAGTGGCGAAGCCGCCCGAGCTGACGCGGCTAAGCACGAAGCACCTAAGGGGGGGGGTGTCTGGGGGTCCTCCCCCAGGAAATTTTAGAAAATTTAATGGCTCCAGGTGCGATTTTCCAGCTCTTTGAAATGGTTTTTTTAGACATGAACTAATGGTTTTTGAGTAACTTTTCGCCACATAACTGACTTATGGACCCGATTTCTCGAGAAAAATCTGTTTTAATCCTCAAATCTCAATTTAGCTGTCATTGATTTGTAAAATGATTTAAACTAACTTAGTGACGGTCACATTGACACGGTTTAAACGGTTAATTTTATGGAAATAAATAAAAACTGCACAATGCTAAATTAATTATTTCTCACTTTATTCTCACAATTAATACTGCGGGAATCATACATAGACGTGTACTGAATAATGATCCTGTAATTAATGAGTCTTAAATTTCTGGGAACTAGTTTTTATTGTGATTAGAAGCGTAGACAATTAGAGATGTTCCAGAACTTTTTTTATTTTGTACTAATCTGGCAGTGTCAAAACTCTCACTTCTGACACTCATGTTAGTGCGGAGTCTCGTAATCGGACCATTCTGAGGATTGATTATTACATTGTGACAACGTGTCTTACCCACGCCACGTGTTGTTTGTTTGTTACTGTCTGCGATCTGTTGACCTTTGCTTTAATTATGTAGAATTTGTCATCCTAACTGGACTTGTGTATATGTACTGCACTGTGAATGAATGTGTGCTGCACAAGGCTGCGAAGCAATCGATAATGAGGATCGACAAAACTTTTCATTGCTGCTAATTTTGTTAATTTGTCTTAACCACAACCGCCTTGTCTGACTTTAATAGAAACTGCTCAGTGGCGCCCCCCTTCAAGTGGCGCCCAGGGCACGTGCCATACCTTGGTTACGCCACTGGTTCTACTCCGTGTACTGTAAGATCTACAGTAGTCTGTAGTTGCATGTACTCGTGGTATATGTTATTCAGGACAGTTTCCATAAAGCATATTAATTTTGTATCCTCCATAATATCGACAGTTATATGTTATGTGGCTACGGAACGTGTGTAGATGTTAATAGCTTTAATTGAGTAATTAAACGCTAACGTATTTACATTCGTGTTATAAACAAGTACATGATATCACTCTCAAGAACATGTATGATTTAACATAACAGATTGATTTCTTCTGATATGCACTGATATGATATATGCCAGGCTGACTGTTTGCCAAATACCAGGTATGCCCTAATGATAATCGTGTATTGTACTACTAATACTGGTCTGCTGCTTAGGCAATAATGCATATTAGTATCATATTTTAGTATTTAATTTGGATAGTTCAGTAATGTGTTCATCGAATGGCAAAGAATAGTTAAATGCTCTTATGTAGCATCGTGGTAGCAGCAGTGAATGCACTGAATTCGTATTGCTGGTAACTATGGGTTTTTCATTTACCTATCTTACACTAGAAAACAGGACACTTGTGAATGGTCCTGTATTTCTTTATCAGTAGCCAAGTAGGTGGTTTTAGCATGGATTGTTATTAATCCAGTTACGTATGTATACAGAATTACTTTTAATTATGCACCTTACATATTCTTATTGTATTGATCAGATCATGCGAGAAGCAGTGTGTTTGGAAAACTTTGATTTTTTCTAAAGTACTAATGAATAAATTAACTTAATTGCTGACTGACGTTTCTCGTTACTTTGTTCGTTTTATCGTTTTGTGATACATATTGCATGATTGATAACGTAATTAAATATTTACATAAAGAACATACCAGCATGGACTACATCCACTCTGGATCCCATGATCCTGACCTATCGCGATGCCGCGTTAATGTTGAAAATCCACAGCCGGGCTAGTACAGCATTAGAAATAGGCTTTAAAGCTAATTAGAATTAAGAGTTTCAAACAAAAACTGCGTGCGTGCATGTTCCTGTGCATGTACACGTGCCTGTGTGTGTACGCGTTCCTGTGCGTGTACGTGTTCCTGTGCGTGAAGAGTTCATAAGCGTGTGCGCGTGCCTGTGTGTGTACGTGTTCCTGTGCGTGTACGTGTACGTGTTCCTGTGCGTGTGCGTGTACGTGTTCCTGTGCGTGAAGCGTTCATAAGTGTGTGCGCGTGCCTGTATGTGTGACTGCGTGTGCGCGTGCCTGTGCGTGTACGCGTTTCGGTGCGTGTACGCTTTCCTGTACATGTACATGTGACTGCGTATACGCGTTCCTGCACGTGTATACGTGTGACTGTGCGTGTACGCGTTCCTGCACATGTACGTGTGACTGTGCGTGTACGCATTCCTACACATGTACGTGTGACTGTGCGTGTACGCGTTCCTGCACATGTACGTGTGACTGTGCGTGCATGTACCCATTCCTGCACGTATACGCGTCCCTGTGCGTGTACGTGTGCCTGTGCGTGTACGCGTGCCTGTGCGTGTACGCGTACCTGTGCGTGTGCGCGTGCCTGTTCGTGTACTCGTGCCTGTGCGCGTGTGTGTAAGTTATCACTGTATATGATTATATATTTTTTCCAAACTCTTACAGAACCGGCGGAGGTACAGCCACAATCATTATCACCGTACAGTACACAAATAGTATCGAACGACTTATAGGGCAAACTTATAATGATTATTCCATGGTAAAACTATATGCAACTAGAGCACTCGGAGAGCACAGACCTCCGCCAAGGCAGCTGAATGCTCTCAATGTGAAATTTTTTTTAATTAATTAATTAATTAAGTGGAAAAATTAATTAATTAAATAATTAATTGGATCCGGATTAGTGCGAGCGTGCAGGTGGGGGAGGACTGTGGTTGCCCCTTAGCCTGTGGTTGCGTGTTTGTAAGTCTACAGCCAGCGCACTTAGCGGAAATGAACTGAAACGTGCATGGTAACAAACACACAAACCCACAAACACACAAACCAACACTCAAAGACACGCCGGTGAAAACATAACCTCCGCCAAGCCCCTGGCGGAGGTAATAACTTATGCAATTGTTTTGAATGATACACCAATAGTATATTTTATGTGCCAACAAGTTTTTCTGGGGATATATAGCTATATCTTCTAGTTCTCTTATGAATGCGTAGCTTAGTTTTTTGCTATCAATAGCCTGTATTTAGTAAAAGGTTGGTTGGTGGAGTTCTTTTGTGTTTTCGTGAGATTCTGTATTGATTGACTGGGACCTTTTATACTACAGTCATTATTGTTGTTTTTCGACTGCAGGTGGCAGCACCAAGCTGGAACGTCCGCCAAGTTTTTGTACAGAAACGAAATAATAATGATTTTAATTTATATACTTTTATGCGAATATTATACACGAACAATCACATTTTATTATTGCTCCTTTAATAGTTAAATTTATTATCTAGGTGATGTTTACTGAAATGCAAATGAGCGCAATCATGTTATAGCTACAGTGCGTACGAATACGGGCGTCGCTTTTGTGTGTTTTGGTGACGACAGAGAGAGGGAATTTTGTGTTGCGTGATCACGCACGATGTGCAAGATCCTCTGATATTTCCCCCTAAAATGGATACAAGTCGACGTGAAACGATACCAAAATGAAGTGTAATATCATAAAAGTGTGTGTGTGTTACTTTGCCTATGGATTACTTTTAGTAGTGGCTAAAGAAGGTAAGAAAACATCAAACCTCGGTTTGTGTACATTTTTTGAGTTTGCGTCTGGTTCGACCGCGTACTATCGCGCTGGGGTAGATATACACCCTACATCCCTACATGCATAATGCACGGTTGTTAAGCGCTGACTCACATGTGTATTTGCTAAATTGTATATGCATAGATATATAAAAACACATTGTGTTTGTGTTTGTATATATCTAAAAGGGTTGTGTTTGTATATAAATTACTAGCTCTAGTAACTATAGCCCGCGTGCGGTTGCCGCTGGCCGCGGCTAATAAATTACTATATATCTATGACATCTATGGTATCTTGAGTTGATGGTATATATAAATTTAGTCTTTAGACGTGTGTCATGTCCATGTATCGTTTTGAAATATGTACTTGTTGCTTAGTACATTAGAGCACAGTGTTTGTTGCATGCTGTTTGATTCTTGGTTTAATGATGTGTGAATTTGTTATCCACGACCACTTCTAAGTTCAACTTCTAGTTATTTATCTACGCGACTTTACACGAGTTACAAAACGCGATTCACTACGTAGCACTGCCCACTGCTGTTCCGCATCCACCAAACTCTGGCATCCTGTACTAAATTCCTGGATCCTCCATGATAAATTAATGGAAACCTAAACGGCTGATACAATGTGTATTGTATATTATCATTGATATTATCAGGAGTTAATGAGACAATTTATTTGTCTCATTAACTCCTGATATTATGTATGTATTGTGATCATAGATATGTACAATATTATATTGTTGGTGGTTGTTTAGTTTGTTTATCACTGTTGCAATATTTCTCTCCAGTTTCAGTTGAGCTGTATGTAAGTTGCTGTGATGGTTTAACCAAGCAATTTTCACGAATAATTTATAACTAAACTTTGAATCTAAACTAAAAGAAGTGTGTCTACTCTAAATGTACCATTCGTCAACAGCATTTACTTTAAGTATGGATGTGTTCGTCTACAGTAAATGCCTTCCTTGTAAAAGGAGCATAACAGACTACAGAAACCGCGTGGCAGTCCATATTTATTTAATGGATCTAATGGACGTGTCAGTTGATGTGGGGTTTAGTGTGGAGAGTCAGTCAAAATTTGGAAAAGCGTCAAAATTGGGTAAATGTTGAGTAAGTGCTGGTACACTCTTTTCATTAACTCAAATATGCTAAGTACTATTTACTATGGATTACACCCTAGATGGAGATCTAATGATGGTTTAACAAAACAAACATAAGTGAAAATAAATATGAAATTATTGTTTGTATTCTATTTCGATTTAATAATAAAGCACATTACGAAAAGACAATAAATTAATAATATAATACATTTAACCAAACTTCAATCTGCTAAAAAAATATTTTAGGTGTTAAGCTTTGCCATATGTTTTTACCATCAACTGGAAATTCTATCAATTCTATCAATTCAATAGTGTTTGCCGGGCTAACGCTCCATTAGGAGTGTTCCCAACTTTGATATCATTAATTAATAATGATTGATAATCCTAACCCTAACCCTAACCCTAACCTAAATGACATTAAACCACAAACTAATATATGACCATATATATATATCAGGAGTAGATAATAGTTCCCTATTATCTACTCCTGATATATATATATATGTTATTATGACCATTAATGACATTAAAGTTGGGAACACTCATAATGGAGTATCACCCGTTTGCCTGGTAGGATATGACAAAGGTATTCACTGGCCAGTTGTTCCAGGGCAGGTTCCTGTGATTGACCACAGTTTTATGTTTGGTAGAGTAGTAGACCCGCCAGTGAACTCGCATTTTGGAGTTGCATTGTGTGGTATGCATATATATATATATATTATATATATATATATTTATTTATAAGCTCTTCGACGTAACCAAGCATACCAAGAGCGCAGCGTTTTCACTGAATCCGTTTTCGTATTCGCAGCATAAACAAGATGAACGTTTGCAGCTCGTGTGCAGTCAGTTTAAATCGCATTACAGCAGTACTGAGTCGGTAGAATTAGACATTATTATTATTCTGTCTGCAATCCGCCGTTAAAAATGCATGAATCTTTTTGGACGTAGATATTTACTCACTTTTATATTCAAGATTATCTAATCATGTCTTAGGATTCGTTGGATGAATGCATGCCATAGCCAACTACTGCAACAATAGCCGAGAGCATGTAAGCAATGGATGATAAATAAATAGGATATATTCCCTATAGCTCTAAGCCGTCCCGCAACCCGCCTGTTTCACGTCCGCTTTCGCCAATTTGTATTTATTTGTGCAGTCGTGTTAGGTCAAGTAGTTTGAGTGGGCATGGTGCAGGGATCTATGAACGTATCGGGCGTCTGTCGGGCGGGAGTCTGCTGAGCAAGGGCCTCGGGCGCAATTCCCCTGGTTCCTGCCCGCTCCTATGGCTCCCATACAGTGCATGGTGATGATACCGGGCAATAACGGCGGTCGTGAATGAAGTAAAGGCTGCCGACCGACTGCTGCCGCACATTGCCGCCATCTGTCCGATTATTGCTTGTACACTGCAACATTTATGTCTTTATTGGCCACTCCTCTGCGCATGCATGCGGGCAGGCGCTACCAGTGAAGGTATATATACGGTTGTACGGTTGTAGATGGCGGCGATTAGAGAGGCGCTAGTAAATGTGTTAAACGCACGCATGTCTGCAGGAGTGTGCCCGGCGTGCCGACGATGTGCAACACGCACGCACGCACACACACGCACGCACGCACGCACGCACACACACGCACGCACGCACGCACGCGCACATCTTGAATAGCTATCGCATTGCGTTGCCGAGAAATCGCCAGCACATTGGTCATGGGTTTTGAGTGCGTATAAGAACCCGGGCGTCCAGGAGAATAGTATCATAAACTAGCGAAATATCGTTAATTTTTAATATTAGTTATTGTTAGTCTATGATAAATATCCGGATTGTCATTATATATGTCTATATATACATCTATCTATATTATGACACTCCTGATAATATATACTTGACAATAATCACTTCCCATTTTAAACTTCCGATACCTGTTTTCCCTCCATTACTCACTGTTCACGAGTGTTCAGTAAATCAGTCATGTTCGCGCCACACTGCTCGTCATTCTCAGCCGACCGGTATTCGACCACCGTGGTGGTACGTACATAAATGGTACTCCTGACCAGTAAACACTGCCCAGTGGTGGTATTTGCGCGCAAACGTGACTAGGATTGCGGATGAAGGCTGCTCGACCAGGTTTCGGTAATAAAGCTCATCGTTGTGTGTGTGTGTGTGTGTGTGTGTGTGTGTGTGTGTGCGTGCGTGCGTGCGTGTGTGTGTGATTCGTTTGCTGGCCACTGATGAGCTGTCTGATTGGTATTAGGCTATTAGCACTACATACGCCGCTACGCATCGTGGCCAGGGCTCACAGTTGCTCTAGAACTATAGCCCTGCGCTCTGCGACAGGCCTGTGCAAAGGGCTATAGACTATAGTTCTAGAGCTCACAGTTGGTATGCTGTGTGTCTAGACCACATCGCAGTTGTATGTACAAGGCGTTTGTCGGCTGTATAATGTATGAAAATTGGCGCCAGGTGCTTTTATCTAGCATTCCTGTCGTAGAAGTTGTATTAAAATTGTAATTCTGGATTTGCTGTAAATTTTTCGCGATAGATTTTGCGATTTTCGTCGCACAAACAAACTCTTAGACATGTGGAAATGGACGGAACGTAGGCAGTGCAGTGCAATGAGATATCGAAAGCGGTTTCCACAGTTCATGTGGACAGTTATCCTGTCTGCCACAATGGCTCTGTTGTTGTCGTATGTGTACACCGCCAACATTGTCCTAATTGCGAGCGAACTGGAGATCCTGCGAGCGTTCATTCGTGATTGTGTTTGATCTGCCAGCGTATTACCCGTAGTCTCTCGCACACGCTTTGCAGAGCCAGTGTTTTATTGCCTGCCCCATGTTGGCAGAGCAGCTTCGAGCTTTATTTAGCTGTATTTGGGTCAGTCTCCTAACCGGCGGAGGAAATTGTAATACTTGCTGGTCACAGCGGGTGTTTTTCCTAGTCAGGCCTAATATCAAAATAAATGGACTTGTGTTGATATGATAAACAACGCTGAATTGTTCACGGTGGCAGTGGCACCTAGAATTGGAAATGAATAATTCAGAAACACTGATTGAACATTGAAAAAAATTAATAAAGCTGTATATCAGAACGCATTTCGTGTCAAGAATCTTTTTCCAAATTACTGCCTTCCTCTCCCTAGCACCCGATCCCGTTATCGCCTTCCTTGCCGCCCAATGTTTAGGTATGTTTTCACTACGTTCGGGTGTCACTGCTCGTGTCTCCCTTCTGCCGATGCATTTCGTACGTGTCAAGAATTTGTATCAAATTGCTCCCAGCCTCTCCCTGGCACCCCACCCCCTTATCGCCTTCCTCGCTGCCAAATATTTAGGTATTTTCCTCTAGCATTTGCTTTTGCTTTTGCTGTGGTGCTTTTGCTCTAGCTTCGGCTGTGTACAGCTCGTGTCTCCCTCCGTTCTGCAGATGCGGTCGTGTCGGCGAAGGAGCTGATCAGCAGCGTGAAGGAGAACCAGGAGCTGCTGCAGAGCATCCCCGCTGAGTACGAGATCGTCTACCCGGTGCAGGTGCACCACGACCACGGCCGCCGCAACAACGTGTCAACCATCGACGAGGTGCTCAGTAACACGGTAAGCCACGCGCATGGTGGGTCTCCTGCTTCCCCCGCCAGCACTGAGCAGCCGCCCCGGCTGCGTATGGGCGTGCGTGCTTCTGCCTTTAAAACTGCCAGAGCCTTGTATGGGGCCAAAAAAATGCATCGTTCTGCTTAACACACTACACCGAAGGAGGCCGCCCCCGCTTGTACAGAGCATGCATCGCTGTCTGCTTCTAAACTCACTAGCAGCCGGAAGGAGGGGGTGCTTGTACAGAGCATGCATGCTTCTGCTTAACCACTAGCAGCCGGAAGAGGGGTGCTTGTACAGAGCATGCGTTCTTCTGCTTAACCACTAGCATAGTCTTGCTTAACCACCAGAGCCTTGTATGTGGCATGGATGCTTTTGCTTTAACTGCCAGGGCCTTGTATGGGGCATGCATACCTCTGCTTAAATGGCCTTGTATGGGGCATGCATACCTCTGCTTAACGGCCCTTGTATGGGGCATGCATACCTCTGCTTAAAGGGCCTTGTATGGGGCATGTACACCTCTTCTTAAAGGCCCTTGTATGGGGCATGCATACCTCTGCTTAAATGGCCTTGTATGGGGGCATGCATACCTCTGCTTAAAGGGCCTTATATGGGGCATGTACACCTGAGCTTAAAGGGCCTTATATGGGGCATGTACACCTGTGCTTAAAGGGCCTTGTATGGGGCATGCATACCTCTGCTTAAAGGGCCTAAGCCCTTATATGGGGCATGTACACCTGTGCTTAAAGGGCCTTTGTATGGGGCATGCATACCTCTGCTTAACTGCCAGGGCGTTGTATGGCGCATACATAGTCTCGCTTAACCACCAGGTCTTTATGGGGCAATCATGTTCATGCTTACCCATCGGGCATCGTGCAGGGCATGCACACTCTCGCTTTCTCACTAGGGCCATGGACATGTACGCATTGCGTCATGACAGAGCTGTCTAGCATAGTACCAAGATCTAATAATACCTAGAGTGTACAGCGGGATAACGGAAAAATAACGTTATTTTACGGCAAAACTATTCTACTTTAACTGCAAAGGTATTATCAGCTCTTGATAGTACTGGGTGTTGTTACATTGCGGGGCGTTGTTATAAATCTATGTATAAGCATATACATGCATGACTTCACTGCTGAACCACGCTTCCGCCTCACCGATGCATACACACACACACACACACACCACTGCCTAGTCTCCAATTTTGCTTGTTGCTGCTATATTGCCAGTATCTGCGTATGCAATTCACTGTAAATGCAATGCATTTATATTAATTGCATTTCTAATTGTTAATTAGGAATGCTGCGTGTTTATATAAGCCAGGATCCCTAATCCGATTGTACGGAAGCAGACGCTGCGCTTCAATTTAATTAACTCAAAGCATAATAATTTGAAAACGTTATCTGCTATTAAAGGGTATTTAACTGTTCAAAAACTTGCTTTGCATGCTAGCTCACTTGATGTAGTGTTGATACCTGATTACATTTAATCGCTGGCCTTTCTATAGAGGGTGTGAGACTAATGGGTAAATTTCACAGCGGTGCTCCCTCCTATGCAGTGTTAGATTTCTGTTCAGCTGGGTGCTAGGTTTGTAGTACAAATTACACTATTTTTCTTACAAATGCTTGTATGGTGTAAGGCCACTCACAAAGAAAGATGTGTGAAGGAAACGTGTGTATAGCAGTACGATTATCACGTGTGTTAATTCACTAGTGCGGAACGAAACGTTTGAAAGAATAGTATAGAAGTTGGTTTTTACTCCGAATGGACCCTAAAGATTTTTGTTCGGTAGTTCGGAACAAGGAGACTATTGTATGCACACGTGTACGCTCGCTTGCACGCACGCCCACACACACACATGCTCGGCTGCAATCATGGAAGAGCACACGCACGCACCCCCACACACACCGTACATTCATATTCAGTGAGATTTACAGTTAGTGAAAATAACAATATTAATTAATAGCAACGATGACAACTACATGAAGTCGTGAGAAAAACAATTTTCATTGGATGCGTAGGCCTACTACGATGACATATTAATCATATGAAACCTTATGATACTTAAAAGCAAAATTGAGTTTTAAATATGTGCGTTTCAGCAATTGGGCCGTTAAATTGATTTCAATAAGAAATGAGACAGGCGCACGTGATGGTCTCATGTCAAATGTTTGGAAACCGCTGCATTTGTCAATGGGGGTCATCTGATCATTGCGAAGGCTGATGGAATGGATGAAAATGTCCGTTACTTAGGAATTCCCGCACTTTGTTTAGGAATAGATGTCAATGTGCTGTAAACACAGGTGCTGGCATGTGTGTAGATTTGCACGAGCTATAGCATAAACTTGCATGGCATGCACGCCTAGGCTTCACCCTAACACAGCAGAGCGGCGTTCGTTGCTCCTTCTTCACTCGTAACAACGTTATCGCACTTAAAATTCATCCACGCGAAATTTAGTATCCGCATAAGTGAAAAAAAACATGCATGATTATAATGCATTTTTAATCGATCGCTCTGCATGCTTGAGAGTTTTCACTGCTGCAGCAGCATATTTATTCAGCCGCTGAGCGTGCACGTCGATTTTCTTACCGCAGTTAATGAAATGCACGGCGTAATCAGCTTTGCCATGGTTTTAAGAGAGCACTAAAACTTCCATGTATTCGATGGAATCTTTGCGTGTATGTTGAGAACTAAAAGCATTTCCAGCTGGAACGAGCGTGTCGGTACATTTGCGTCGATTCTGGTCGGTAAATTCTAATGAGCGATTGGGTTTGTCTCGTATTTCTTGCCTCTTACTATCAGGAGTGTCATAATACAGACTATATTATGACTATATATAGTCAAAAGACATAGACATATATAATTATATAGACTATACTATATATTATGACGATATATAGTCTATATATTATGACACTCCTGCTACTATCATGTAGGGCCTACATGCCGTGCATATTCTTTAACGTTCATGTAATCTATGGTTACCATACACACTTTATACCCGAAAACCCTCAGTGGCAGCGCTTGAGAATATGTAGCTAACGTGCTTTGCATATAGATAAAGTCTGTGTGGTATTGGTATTGGTATGGTGAGATTGTGAAACTTTAGTCTCTTTAGGGTATTATAACAAAAAGTAGAACGGGCCTTGTATTTCTAGTAACTAATTGTCACTGCATCTCAGTAGCTTGAATATTTCCGCCATTTTACTTATTTATAAATGGATCCAGGGCTGTGCAACGTTAGTTGATGCATAAAACACAGAGAAATTATAAACCATTATATATATATATATAATATATAGTATAGGAGTAAAACCTAAAATTAAATTGTAGGACAATCATCATAAGTTTTGGCCTCATTATCAGTTCAATTAGGATTTATTTATGAATATTATTTCAAGTTTTCTATACGGACACACCGACAATATTTATTCATCAGGCGTTCGAATATTATTTGAGGAAACACATGAGAGCCTAGAAGTATTACTGCATTTTATCACATCATAGAAATGTCGTGTATTTCTGTTTTGGATTTTCTTTTTTCGTAGTTTTAGTAAATCACGTAAAGGTAATTTTAAGATAAATCTAAAAAAACGCTGAACGCATGTTCAATGGCAGAAAAAAATAATACCTACTGTTGTCTGTAAGCCTAGTCGCAATTTTGTTGGAATTCATAGTCGTAACGTCGCCTTTACGTCATATAAGCGAGGTTATATTAGGCGATATTACGGGAAGTCTAGAGGAAGATATTGCAGAGCTTCACTTGTGCGTAAATATATACGCCTGTAAGTCAATAAAATATTGCATCAGCAGCTTCCACTACTTTGTCAACATATATATATATATATATATATATATATATATATATATATATATATATATATATAAATATATATTAACGTCTCTTCTATTGTTCTGTGTGTGTCTGTGTATTTTATCTATAGCTGTCTGTGCATGTTGCTGATGGTATATGTGTAGTCTTGCAAGCCGGAATACACGTGTGTACATGTAGATATAAATGTGTTTCTGTGCGCATATACAACCAGTGTGACATACACCGAACTGTTCGTTGCATGTGTGAGTTTCACTAACATGGAGTGTTTCTTCCTTTCAAGCTGTCTACTGTGGACCCTTATGTAAACAATGTAAGTATCGTGAAGTGTTTCTGATAAAAACTAACTCTTCGCCTGTATTTTCTGTGTACGACTAGCTAGGATTTAGAAGGCCTTTTAAACTGAAAACATGGGGAGGTATAATTAGGTGTCTAGTACATGTACATGTAGTCTTGTACATCTCATCCGTCGGTTTAGTTGCTACCGAATAAGCTTATATTAATACACGAAGTTATATGTATATATATATATATAAATTCATACATATAGCGGTGTATGCATATGCATATGCACACAGGGGCGTGTACAGGGGGGGGTCCAGGGGGTCCGGACCCCCCCCCCTGCTCGCGCAGAAAACGCATCTGAGGGGGTCTAATTTCAAAAAATTTCTGGGGAGGGCCCCCCACACCCCCCCTTCGCGTGCTCCCAAGTTTGGGTTACGGTTGGACCCCCCCCCCCTCGTACAAATCCTGTACACGCCCCTGGTACAATTCGGTCAGTCAGCACTAGACTGAGGACTAATAACTGGTGGTCAGGAAATTTGGTATGCCAGTCGTTGCTTGTCTGTCAATTTCCTTCATGTTTTCTTCAGTGTTTTCTTATTTTTAAAATCAGTCCAAAATCTGAAAAGAGTGCGAGGAAATTGAAACTTATTCATAACTGGTGTCACGTTTGTTGTAGTCAGAACCTGTGTCTAAGCCAGGGGCACCCCCTCTGAAATTAATGCATATTAACCAGGGTTTAGTAATTACTGAATCCTATAGTTGTGCTATGGAGACAATGTTTGCGCATCATAGGCTCTTATGCACATTAATTTCATAATTCTAAATTAGATATTGTGTGGAAATAACATTTTAATGTAGCTTAGCAGTAGGAAGAGGTTTACTCAGATAATTTTAGCGTTAGTGGTTTATTTTCAAACAAACATTCTCATTATAGTTAGTATTCACATAAAGACATATTATATCTTAGATACTCACGCGTAGACCACGTGAGACTGCGTGTAACTTGTAAGTTGCATGGACTTGAAATGTGAAGTAACCAATTTACAGTCTAATTTGCATGCGAGTGACGTCATTGCTTACAAAATCACAGAGCACACCTGACAATATAATCACAAGCTTCTTATATCTGTGAAGAGTAAACATTGTTGGGAAAGGCGGTGATATACTACTTGTATGTGTTTACCCCATTTATCATTTCTCTCGTCTCCCGTTCCTTCCCTCTTTTTTTCCTTTCCCGGCCACATATCTGTCGGTTTAAATTAATTCTCAATTAGCCATGACTTGTATGTCTTATGCGGATGTGGAGCTGCTTGCATTACCAACAGGCAGACTGTGCGTGCGTGCGTGCGTGCCTGTGTGCGTGCGTGCCTGTATGCGTGCGTATGTGTGTGTGTGCGTGTGTGTGTGTGCGTGCGTGTGTGTGTGTGCGTGCGTGCGTGCGTGCGTGCGTGTGTGCGTGCGTGCGCGCGCGTGCATGTGCGTGCGTGCGTGCGTGCGTGCGTGCGTGCGTGCGTGCGCGCGCGTGCATGTGCGTGCGTGCGTGCGTGCGTGCGTGCGTGCGTGCGTGCGCGCGCGTGCATGTGCGTGCGTGCGTGCGTGCGTGCGTG